AAACTTTAGTTTTTGAGAAAAGAGATCAAACAGGCGATTAAAATGGCGATTTTTTTTTAGAAAGTTCGTCGTAAAACAATCTGTTTGATTTTTTTTCTCAAAAACTAAAGTTCGCACAAACTTTTTAGAGATTCAGTCCGAAATTATACATGAACATGCTCAATTTTTTTCAAATCGATTTGAGCTTATGCATTTGAGTTATCACTGCAAAACTTATTTAAAAATCCTTTTCGATCAGCAATCTCCAGCGCCATTTTTAATGAATATTCTCAACTAAAAAAAAATTTTTTTTGTAGTTTATGATCCTAATAAACATTTTATTAAAAAAACAATTCTCGATTTTAATTCATTTTTTTTTTTTAATAAATTCCCCAAAAAAGACTTCATTTTCGACAAATCCTATTGCCTAATCCCCTTGAGATGTAGCTATAGATTTTCCATCGAATTGTGAATGATTAAGCGAATTACAAATTTTCAGGTTTATTTTCTTTTACTATTCTATCGCGTGCGTTGTCGTCACTGTTGTATCATTTCCATCGTTACTTGCCATGAACCGTAACAATTATTTTATCGCGCTAATGAAATTCCAGCTGCATTTTGTCGCTCGCGCCCCATCTTCCCCCCTCGATTCTTCGTTTCCGTTTTTGGACCCCGACGTTGAACGCAGATGTTCGACGAGGGCACGTCCGCATCCGCGGTCGGGGATAAGAACCGGAGAACGGAGATCGACACGCTGCACGTGGTCCTCTCGTATTACCGATGGTACGACCGAGTCAAGTTTAGAACGGCCGATTCAACTTCTTTACGCGATGATTAATGCGAGTTAATAACGCGTTGATTATTTATAGATACGCTTACCGTGCATGACAACTAATATGATAATTTTACATTTTCCTCTAATCACATTTCGAGAGCCGTGAAAATTTTATGACAATACAAGGGTGTCTACTCAAATCTTGTAATAATCTTAATTAAATAATAATAATTAAATAATAAATATTTAATAATAAAACAATTAAATAATAATATTTAATATTCTATTTTAAATTGCACAACTTGGCTTATGATCTTCCAGGTATTTTTGTTCAAAATTTCAGGTAAAGAAAATATTGTAAAGATTTTTTGATGCAATTTCCTAAAATAAGTATTTTTATTATACGTGTTTTCTAATATTTTTCATTCATACGAAGGAAAACAAAGCTACTTAAGTTTCAAGTGCTAGATTTACAAATGTATTGAAAAAAAAACTAAATAGCTTTTGTTAAGATAAAAATTTTTAACTTGTATAACATTTTCATTTTTTCATTACTAAAAATTAAAATAAAGAGAACGTACTGTGAATTATAAAAAAAGAAGTTTTTTTTTAATTCTCTGGATCCCAATAAAATTCCATGAGAATTCCCTGATTTCTCCAGGTACAAAAAAATTCCCTAAGAATTCCAGGTTTTCCATGTTTTTCCAGGGAGTAGATTCCCAATAGATAATCAAATCTCAAACTTGAAATCTTGTTAAATTAAAGAAAGTTTGCTACTTTCTTCTAGTTACTTATTAATTTCATTGTTAATTGAAATTAAAATCGCTATTCTTTTCGCAAACCGACACGCAACATCTGTCATTAAAGTATGCGCTATATCGCAGAGCGCACATCGCGATCAGTATCACTGTCGCGACCGGACATACCGAGACGTAATTTTTATTACGGCCGTTTCCAGGGAAATTGGAGTAAATTACGAGCGTATTTGCCGAGCGTCTTGCATCGTGCGTATATGTATGCTACTCGCCACCGTTAAAATTCCTCGACGGTGTTTGATGACTCGCGATTATATTCGCAGAGAAATTTTCAATAAGTAATACAGTACGTAAAACTACGTAACAATTGAAAAGAATATCGCGTAAATATATTTTGCAGGAAAAAAAGAATGTTAAAGTTTTGACTTTGCGGCGAAAGAGTATGATCTTGTTCGTCGATTGTTGACGACCCCCCGACGTGTTAAAGGTCGATTTTTCATGACCGCGTCGTCAACCCGCTCCGCGATAGAGAGCTCCGCGGGTCCCTTTATTACAAAACCCAGTCTCGACAGCGGCTTTACAGTCGGAAGGACCGATGACTGGCAAGCGACGACGAGGGGCCCTGAACCCCGTGTATAAGGCATGTACTGGTCCAGAGAGCGCCCTTGCCTTCGCTCCGTCAGTTTTTTCATCGTCTGCTCTCGGGCTGCTGCCGCTTTTAAAGCGATCGTCACGGGCACCGCGCTTTTACGCGGTTCTTTCTCGGCAGGTGTGCCTTCTCTTCTCTTGTGTTTCTTCCTTCTCGCGCTATTACGCGTTCTATACTGTCGCCAAGAACGCTCGATCCCAACAAGATTATAAAAATATTATGCAAACAATGAAAGAGAGAGAGAGAGACAGAGACAGAGACAGAGAGAGAAAGAGAGAGAGAGAGAGAGAGAGAGAGAGAGAGAGAGAGAGAGAGAGAGAGAGAGAGAGCATACAGAGAGCGACATTTTTCTCGGAATAATAATAAAATGTAATACATTTTCAAATGTTGACTGTATAATGTAATCGTCAAAGAACATAGTCCAGAAAAACGATTATATTTATATCAAAATGTTTAGAAAACAAAAGAATATATCAATGAAATGGAAAACAAGTGTTGTTTACAACAATTGAAATCGTAAGATAACGCAAGCTCGAAAAACAGCTGATTTCAGGATGAGAACAAATTCTATTCCTCTAAATGTATATATATATATATATATATACTCTTTTTTAACAAAAAAATTGTAAATGTACAATTAAATTCGACATAAAAGAAAGCTCGTCGAGAAAGCAGTAATCGAGTAAATCCGGTTTGCCTTCCGTCTGATTGGAATCGCGTTTCGGTACATTTCGCGGCGAGAACCTTGAATCGGTCACGTACAGCGGTAAAAGTTCTTTTTTTTTATGAGTCAGCGAAATAGATTTTGACACTGATCTACATCTGTAAAAATTATAATCCGTTATTTGCTTGATTATTCTTACTGTAGCTTGCATATATTGTAGAGAGGATTTAAATTAAAGTCCACGGTACATATACAGGGTGTTCCAGAATTAGACCGACAAACTTCAAGTGGTTATAAAGGATACCAAAACAAGCCAATTTTGCCAATAAACCCGTGTCCGCAAATGAGCTTGTTTTGGCACTAGAGAATAAAAAATTAACAAGGGAATCTCGCGAACCTGAAAATTCTGATTTTGATGAAGCTTTACACAGTGGGGCTGGTAAATAGATGAATTTAGAAATTTTCAGTTGCAGCCCAAAATCGATTCTAAGGAATGAAATCATCCCTTATATGTAGAGCGGCTTTTCGTTTTTCTCGACATATCTCGAAAATTATTCGAGATATCAAAAAATGTTTTATACAAAAGTTTCATGGTAAAAACCCCTCTTAACCACATTAATAAAATTTTGAAAAAATAATTTTTTAATGCCAAAACGGCTTATTTGCGGACACGGATTTATTGACAAAATTGGCTTGTTCTGGTGTCCTTTATAACCACCTGAAGTTTGTTGGTGTATTTCTGGAACACCTTGTATATTCTCGTGAATTTTACAAATAATACTTTAATTGTACTCAACAGCAAATTTTTTTTTTTTTTTAATCTGCTCGAAGCAATTTGTTAGGCAATCCGTGTGCAGGTTAAGCATGCGAGTAGACTTTGTTCTCATCCAGAAGGTGTCATTCTCGGAGAGTGATTCGCGACTGACGTAGAATACACAGATTCTCTTGCATCTAGGAAAATAAATTATGACGATAAGATAACGCGTTTCCATGGCGATATTTTTTTTTTACCGAACCCATATGTATTGAACAAAAATCGGATAACTCTCTTACATACTTATCATTTATCATAAAGATTTTTCGTTCTTTATCTCGTTCATATGTATAAGATATTTTCGAAATCAAAGTGACAAAGATAAATTATATGTTGAAGAATATCTCGCGCATTCTTCAAACGTTATTATTATATATTAATATATATTGCGAATTAATTATATTTTTCATATTCCAATATCGCCAACATCTTAAATATTAAAAGTATAATATTTGATTTTCTAAATAAAATCTTTAAATCCAAACTTTCATCGTTTTTATCTTGCTTTGTTTATCATCTTATCCACGGATAAGACGGATCGCTTATGCAATGTAAATTGTAATGTAATATATTAATATATATATTGCGAATTAATTATATTTTTCAACTTCGAATATCGCCAACATCCTAATATCAAAAGTATAATATGTGATTTTTTAAATAAGATCTTTATATAAATCTTAATAAGACGGATCGCTTTATGTAATGCTCTTCCAATGTTATAATAATGCGCGCGATCAAGCTGAATGCATTGTATCTCATCTAAGATGCGTAACCTCGCGCATAACCTTACAACTTGCGTCAACATTTACTTCAACGCATCTTACGACTATACAGCGCGATTCACAAAAGATCTGCATCATTTTAAAATCTGATTTCGTAAACCTAATGTTCATATAAAAATATTATATATGAAATTCCGATAGAGACATATATTACATTTTGAATATTTATAGAGTATATTACGAGTCTATTTTAAGTCTCTGCAAATAGTTATAAAATTTATCAACAGCTGTCGAAGGACTTTAAGTAAGTTAAAGTGTATTAAATTTTATTAATTTTTTTAAATTTTATTTTAATTTTCGTATCGTTTCAAAAAATTTTTCTTTTCGAAGGATTTGCAATTAGTATTGTTTTCGCCAAATGTAACAAATAACCGCGACTAAAAAAATGTGCGGAAATATTATAATTATAAAGACAAAACGAGCTTAATCGTCCTCTCTCTTCCTTACTCTTTCGTATCATGTTACTTCTCGAGTGAAAACCAATCGCGAGCAGACTAGGTTCGCGAGAACCTGGCCGGCTTTGCTTGTCAAAATGCTGTGACGCGATGAAGATTACATGCCATGCAATAATAAACTCACCTAACGAACAGCTGTTCCTGATTATTCACTCGCCAGGACACCACGGTGGCTCCTGCAAAATGAAAAATCATGAATCAGAATTTCGTTCGCGCGGGGAGACGCGCGTCGACGATGACACGTGAAAAGAGGGTAGCATCCCGCGCGTGTTGGATACCGCGAACGGGCCGCTCGAGAGGAGAGCGAAGATGCTCGCTCACACACACACGCGCGCGTGAAAAACATTTCGTTTCGGAGGATCGGTGCCGTCAAGAGGAGCACAAACCGGCGAGCTCGGGGACGCGCGCGTTCACGTTAACAGTAGCTTTCATTCATCTCGCCACGTTCCTCTTTCAATTGTTTCGACGAAGGTAGATTTCCGCGGGATGCGGGCGCGCGTGTGTACACACTCACACACGGGTATCGCACACACTCACGCACACATACACGCGCACACACACCGTGTAAATTGATGGTGCAGGTGGTGTTGTTGCCCCTGTCGAGCACGACAACGCTGGTAGCAGCTGCCATGTTTGAGTCGTGAATGCGCCGCCGGCCGGCCGCTCGACACGGCCAACCTTTGTCCGACGCCCTCGGACTCGTCCCCACCCGCGTCCGCGTGTCCCGGTGTCGTCGCGCGCGGGCCTTGCGGCGATCGGGCTAACTGAGTCGAGGAACAGGATGACAGCGGGATGAACAGGCAGCCGCGAACGTGTACCGACGGCCGAATCACGCGAAATGTATCGACGCAATACGCACAGTGCGCACTAGACCGGAAATAAGTTGGCGCTGGAAGTTCATATTTTTTAATAATTTATAGCTCAAACAAGCATTATTAACGACATACGTTTATATTTTGCTTGAAGCATTAATAACCTGGCATTCAAATGCATCAGGGACTCTCTGGCCGTCTGGATCTTCTCCTTGACTGGTTTGAAATCGTTCAATGAAATCGCACCGATCGGGAACTTGTTGAGCACCGCGTTTAGGCTCTTCACAGATTGCTCCAACTCATCGAGCTCCATTATTGAGAAATTTACAAAAATTTCTTGCAAACAAGAGATATATATTATTCACTGTACATACATACACAAATTGTTTACCACCGTCTGTTTTTGAATCCAGGTGGACAGGTTTGTCTTCTTAAAAACCCAAATTTACTAGATCCCTATTTATTCATCCATCAGAGCATTCGGTGGACCCGATTGGTCAATCAAATCAGAGAGGAGCCTGAGAGGGGTAACGCCATCGTTTTTCATAAGATACTTTTTCTAGCTGGTACAGTAGCGTTATCTAGATCCATTTTAAAGCCGGCGGAACTACATAGCCAGATTCACTTTACGGTAAAACAACCGGTTGGTACATACCGGAAATAAGTTGGCGCTGGAAGTTCATATTTTTTAATAATTTATAGCTCAAACGATTGCTCCTTAATTGCTCCGTCAGAATCCACAATTGCTCCCCTTTTAAAATTAGTAGTTTTCGAAATATTTACAAAAAACGTAAAATTTATCATTTTCACTCAAAAACATATTTCCAATAGTTTTTTGCAACTATATCCAGTATAAAACGATTGCTCCTTAATTGCTTCGCATTGCTCCATCATTATTTTCATGATTTATTGCATTTTTCATCGAAAATTAACTAATTAATAATTTCCCTAGCGACGCCGTCATCACCTATCGGCTGCCTATCGGAACTATATGGCTCAGCAGCCAACGGCGAGAATATTCAAACATAATATAACATAAAACGATTGCTCCTTAATTGCTTCATATTTAAGATCGTCTTAAGCCCGTATCAGAGTACGCATTGAAGATTGATATTCAAGATTCAAGATGAAATTTGACCAATCAGAACAAAGAAATTTTAATCTTTTTTGTTCTGATTAGTCAAATTCCAATCTTTAATCTTCAATGTTTCATTTTTAATGCGTAGTCTGATACGGGCTCAACGTGTTGAAACATGTTTGGTCCTGTCTAAAGACCGTATCAGACTACGCATTGAAGATTCAGATTGAAGATTGAAGACTATGGATTGAAAACTAAAGATTAAAGATTGGAATTTGACTAATTGGAATAAAAATAAACTAAAATTTCTTTGTCTTAATTGGTCAAATTTCAATCTTCAATCTTCGATCTCAATCTTCAATGCGTAGTCTGATACGGGCTTAAGACGATCTTAAATATGAAGCAATTAAGGAGCATTCGTTTTATGTTGGATATACTTGCAGTAGACTACGGAAAATATGTTTTTCCAAGAAAATGATTGATTTGGGCCAATTTCACCAAGTCCGGTTAGATTAACCGACGGTTAAAATTAGCAAGGTTCCAACTGAAATGATAAGAATGCTTGGTTTTCCTTCACCTGTATTTTCTGTTGGCCACCCTGCTAATTTTAACCGTCGGTTAATGTAACCGAGGTTGGTGAAATTGGCCCTAAGGCTGGTATTCATAGTCCGTTCTTATATTCAAGATCGTCTT